CCATTTCCAGTGATATCCCAGGAGACGTTAGTCATGCCTCAGAGTTTATTCAACGCCAGTGAGGAGTTCATGGGCGAACCAATAAAACACAAGGGATCTCCTGATCCCCTGACCAAGATGCTGCCCTCTCTTCACCTGGCAGCTAGCCGAGGGTGTGGAAACTAAGATCTTGAGATGTTGTCGACCGCGGCGGCAGCCTTGCTCTGGCATGGCCTAGCACAGCTCCCGTGGCTAATACTGTTCTTACCTAGCTGCAAGCCAGCGCCGGCAACCTGGGGGGGGGGGGGCGCACTTCGGAACACCTGAGAGATCACAATCCATCCCCAAGGTGTGGGCCGGTCGTCACGGTGACTATGGCAGCACCACTTTATTTATAAACTAAATGAAAGAGATCTTCAGTCATGTCTGTTCAGGATGAGCCATTATCTTTGGAGCCAGGACACCAGGAGGAGGGCTTCAAAGAGTCGTCTACTTTGTGGGGAATAGACAAAGGAAATGGAGTTGAGATGTGTTGCCTACCTCTGCCGAGTGGTTTCTGCCACAGAAGTTGCAAACTCTCTCCTGGTGGCTTTACGGGCCTAAACACCAAAATATGTCTTCAGGGAAGAAATCAGCTGTCATTGCTTCAAAGCCCATTGGTCAGTCAGTAGGGATGCTTGGCACATGGGGCCTGCATTCGCCTCCCACCGAGCTTCGGTGATATAACGCAACCGGACCCCTTCAAAGCCCAGGAACGTCAAAGCCAGAAGGGCCCTTGATTCCAGCTGCCATGTTTCAACCGGCTGAGCGTGAGGAAGCAGGCTGGGGCTGAAACAGGTTGCACCGCCCCTGGCTACAAGGGAAGGGGGTTGGATTCTGTTGCCTCAACTTCCCCGACACCATGTGCTTCTCCCGTACCGTCCTTATGCTAGCTGACACATTTTTCATCTGTGTGATAGTTTGTCTTCCTCCCACTCTACCTTATAAGTGCCATGAAGACAGATGCTATGTCTTTCACTCATCTTTGTATCCCCAGCATCTAGCACGGTCCTTGTGCTTGAAAGAATGAATGAATGTATGAATTAAAAGCTCGTGGGGAGTATGAGAATGGAGTCCTCAATCGCTAGAGAAGAAAACAGGTCCAGAGAAACGACAAGTTACCCAAGATCATGCCTTAAGGCGGTGACGTTGTCTGTCTTAGCAAAAAACCTAGAATACAATTGGGTCCCGAAGGGAGCAGTCTTGGGTAGAACTGAGAAAGATGTTGCCTTGTCTATATTCTTCACCTCCATGGTTCCCAAAGCTCTAAGAGGACAAAATGGAGCCATGGCTTTGATTTCTTAGGGCTCCTGCTCCACCTGGGGCCACGTTATCACAGAGAGACCAGGAGACCTCACAGCCTTAACTGTGACTCTCAGATTCCTCTGGCGTTACCCTTGTGCTTCCGTAGCAGGTGTTGCCACACGTGCACGTGTGTGCATGTGCGCGCCTGTGTTTTCCGTCATTCTCTGAAATGTTTTTCTGCACTTCCACACCCACAGGAGGGGGGAGTCTATTTTGTACCTATGCCTACAGTCTCTCCACTGCCCAAGGTACTTCTGTGTCTTCTGAGCATAAACATAAAGAAAATTAAAATAAAGAAACCCTACTGGCCAAGCAGTGGCACTTGTATACGATGTTCTTTCTAGCCTGTGTCCACTTGAGGGGTTAGCAGAACCACCACATGGTTGTCTTAAGAATTTTGGTTTTTCTGATGCTGCCCCAAAGGAAAGGTGCCCAGATCCACACAGTCCCTGCTGAACAAACTTCCTGTTTTCTGTCTAGGAAGGGAGATCCCTAAGTCAGGTGGCTGTGGGGCGCAGGGCCCAGGAAGAGCCAAGGAAGGAACTTACCAGAGGCATGGGGATCACAGAAGGAGCTTGACTGGTTCTCTGGCTTCTAGCTGGGCCTTTACCTGTAATTGCCCAAGGGCAGAAGGAGACACAAAGCTTAAGGGCTGTTCCTCCCTTGGCCTAAGACTACAGCTGAGGCCATGGGCCTGTCCTCTTCTGCTCCTGACCCTTCTCAAGGAGACTTTTCTATGTCTGCTTACCCAGTGGCCCCAGAGGTCCTTTGGTAAGTCCCTCCAGATGAACAAAAAGTTTCAAAGAGTAAGGCTGCCTCCCAAAGCTTGTGTGCTGGGGGGGGGGGGGGGGGTGCAGGTGGCCCTCGCACACACTGAGACCCGTGGTGTGACCATCTCAGGGCCTCCCTCCTCCCTAGTCTACACATACCTCCACTTACCGAGGCTACTGTGTCCTCTCTGTGACCTCTCACGGGGCCTTTGTCACCATGAAGCAGAATCTACCCCTGTCTATGGGCTGACTGCATTGGCCTCCATGGGTCCAGGCAACAGATGAGGGGCACATTCACTCGTGTGAAAGTTGTTCCTTGGCCCTTTCATTTTCCTTAATCCCCACCCCCAATGGCCACTTACTCCTTCTATTCCTCTGGCTTCTCTGCCTTTCGGACAAGTGACTAATTATAGAGATTATCCCCAAGCCTGTGATCAGTATGCAGATTATGAGAATGGACATCCTGGAAGGAATCACAGACAGACTTCATGTCGACTGAAAAGAAACCACCTTTCATTTCCATGCTCAGGATCCCCATTCCTGGGATCTGTCCCTCTGCCCTGCTCCCACCCCACCTAGTCCCAGTAGCTCCTGGCCACCACGTCCCTTCAGAGTGCCCGTGTTCTTCAGCCCACGCCTGTTTGGACCCGGGCTGGCGGTCTGACCAAGCGGGGCTGAGCCCTTGCCTCAGAAACTAACATGGACCCAGAGCAGGAGGATCCAGTGTTCAGACTGGATGGCCTCTTGAACAGGGGAGACATAAACTCTGGAGCTAGAAGTGGCTGCAACGAAACAGAAAAGGGCAGTGCAGAGAGAGAGAGAGAGAGAGGGAGAGGAAGCAAACACACATGAGAGCAGTGG